AATTAGAAGAAGTGGCTGATTTTAGATACCTAGGAAGTCAGATAAGTGAGGATGGAAGGAGTAGTAGGGACATAAAGCAGAGGATAGCGCAGGGTCCTGTCGCCTTTAATAAAAAGAAGTCACTTCTGTGCTCGCGAACGGTTAATTTAGAAATTCGGAAAAGGTTGTTAATGGTGTATGTTTGGAGCACGGCGTTGTACGGGAGCGAAACATGGACAGTGGGAGCGGAGGAAAAGAAAAGGTTAGAAGCGTTCGAAATGTGGTGTTGTAGGCAGATGATGAGGATATCGTGGGTAGAAAAGGTTAGAAATGAAGAATTATTGGAAAGAATAGGAGAACAGAGGACTCTATGGAAGTCAATAAAAAATAGGCGAGATAGGTTGGTAGGACACCTTCTCAGGCATGAAGGTCTAGTCAGAGACCTATTAGAGGCTGTTCTAGTTTTAGGGAAATGCAAAGTTTAGCTCAGGATAGGAAAGAGTGGAGGTTTGTGTCCAACCAGTCTTAGGACTGATGACCTTATGATGATGATGATGATAATTTTTATGGCGTATTATTTGTGAAGTAATTTTATTAATCGTAAAAAATAATTTAAGACGTATAGATTTATGCGCGTATGATGGAGTTTCAGATCAATTTTTACCAGGCGATACTTTTTTATTATAAATATAAATATGGCAAGATGCAACATGTAACGTATTGAACAAATTTAGGTTTTATACATGTATTTCTAATAAATATGAAATTCCTAGGAGTAACACTATCCTGCATTGTAATTCTTAGGCTTTGGCCTCAGTTACGACTCAGCACCTGCCCAGTCACCACTGAACATGCCGTCAGCAAAGAACGGCGAAACGTTTGGAAAAGCAAGATTCCACGGACCATGGCCAAAAAGCCCGGAAAAAAGCATAGCATCGACTATCCTGTATTTCCACTCTTGTTAAGGTAATTACAAAATTTAAGCGAAATAAATGTTAATTTAGAAAGATTACCTTGTGAAAATTCACTCGTACAATTAGTACATCGGTAAAGCTAAGCGTTCTTTGGAAATTAGACTAAAACAACATAAAATCCATAAGGAATCGCTGACTACGCGTGGAACTCAAAACACTCTAAAAGTAAAGTAATGCATAATGAACAATATTGTTGAAAAAGAAAATTGAATGAAGCAGTATTTATCCAAAACAAAAGTAATTGGTAAGCTCAGGTGAGTTACTGTTACAGTGTGATGACGAAACTTTATTAGAGACTCTAATAGAACAGTGAACACGTCTCAAAATCGGTTGCACTACTTTAGTATATCAGTGATAACAACATAGAAGAAAGAGCTGAAGATAGGACCAGCCGAAACGTTGTACGTACACATTAAAAACACAGATAATGGAAGACCTTGACGAAACATTTTCTAATCAGAATTGCAAGCATACATACATTAACTTTCCATTATTATTATTACGGTAAAAACTCTTTACAAATCGATGCTTCATAAAAATGAAGACCGTGTTGATCGCACATATGAAAGCGTTCTGCAGCTGAACTGACTACTCAATAGTTAATACTACTTACTTATAATAGTTTTAATGGAATGCACTTATAAAAACTAACTTAGATACTATTGTTTGGAAATGAAAGGGACAGCAAGTAAAGAGCCTTGATATGTTCCCAACCTAGGAGTAAAACGTTGGCCTAACTTGCGAATAAATCCAAGAATATTGTATCGAAGAAGCGAATTTTCTACTGTCATAAAGAAGCGAAATTATCTAAGTGGGGAACGTAGAAATGGCAAAGAACTATCACAAGGTGTCTTACCACCCTGCATCTTCGTAATCTTCCAATTCGACTCTTGACTCTAGACTTATTGACTTGACTACATTATCATTTTTTATTTCGCTATTTAAACGGTTGCTAAATGATCTACTAACACAGTAACGTAGTAGGTAAGTAGGCGTTAGCTTGTACTTTTAAATAAAGAATTTAGATGTACCAACTTTGTACCAGCGACCTGTATATAAATTTATGGATACCGTGTGACAATATTGACCAGAATAAGTTCAGTGCTTTCATTTAATTTTCAAAGAATTCTTTTGTTACAGTTTCCTTTAAGGTATTAACTTAAAATAAGGCCATATAAATATTTTTTTTCTAGATATTTTTCATCGATAGATAGACGATTGAAAGTTTAAATTGGAAGTTTCTGACATATTTTTTGTTGTACTTTAGACCTATCTAAAAGAACTCCATGACATGAGGCAAGTGAAAAAAATTGAATTCATAAATTCTTTATAAAATCACATCATTTACACTCTTGGGGCATCGATATGAACTTAATGAATATCCTAAGCAATACAATCAATTAGAATGTGACTTTGTTTGTTTGTTTGATTGTTTGCTTATTACGATTTCATGCCTTCACTACTCTATCGACTATCATGAAACTTTGTACACACACTGCCAGGAAAAGGACATAGGGTACCTTTTATACAGAAGAAAACACTGTTCCCGAGGGATAAAAAGAATTAGTTTAATGTGGTCGTCGATGACCTTTAACAGGTATTGAAGTTATCGACGCGGCCGAAACCGCAGGTAAAACGTAATAATTTCACAGATACAGAACAAAAAATAAATGATTTTCCTGAAAAGTCATACGCAAGTGATAATTATTTTGCCTTGCTGTAAATGCCTCTCTATTTCGTTACATCCCCTAATAAATACTTTTGAATTTTCTAAATGTGTTTTATGAAAAGTCATAAGCAAGTGATAATTATTTTGCCTTGCTGTAAATGCCTCTCTATTTCGTTACATCCCCTAATAAATACTTTTGAATTTTCTAAATGTGTTTTATTACTATAATCCAAAATGCTCGGATTCGTACTCGAGATGCGTTTTTTTTTTTTGTTTCGACTACTAATCCTGCACACGGGGCGAATTTTTGTTCGCCGTACCTTAACTCCGATCTAGTCATCCTTGTTGCGCACGGCCCACCGTTCGCAGGTATTCGTATGAGCAAGAACGAGGAAAAACTTTTCCGACAGTTTTCATTTGAACACAGAAACAACTGAATACATGGCAACTAGGAAATGAAACGGGCCTCTTTTGTTATTTGAACCGCTATGATGTGTTGGCCTTAGGGCAAAAGTGCAGTCCGTAGGTGGCCATGGAAGTGAATGAATTGTTTTTCGAAACGTTTGTCGTGCAAATCTATTCGTAAATCGAAAGGGGCGGGGGGACGAATCGAATCCCTATCTATCGGGTAATTTATGGACCCTAATTGAAACCGGCAATACTTTCAAATCTATTGATCTTTTTACTTCATAACGGTATCGTCACTGGAGGAGAGACACGTAACTCATCTAATACCACACTTCAACTTATTTGTATTTCACAATTACAATGTGTAAAGCACAAATAATCGTAATGATTTTCATCATCAAAAAGAAGTTTTTGTACCATAAATTATTTAGTAAAAAAAAAAACTTCAGGGTGTTTCATTCCCACCAGCCAGTAATGCTGGTGGACGGACAGTCCCTCCGGACTATGTTGGAAGGTAGGGCGGAAGGCCCTCTTCAGCCTGCTTTCAGAAATCGTAGGAATGGATGGGTGGTGGTTCGGGTGAGAAAGATGAGACGGACGAAATGAAGACAGAAGAGAGTGAAAGATTATCTGTGGAATATTACTGTCTCAGCATTTGCCTAAGTAATCCAAGAAAACCACAGAAAAACTTGGACCAAGGCAGACGGACCCGGAATCGAACCGGCGTCCTCCCGAATGCTAAGCAATGGTAGACCTCTAGGCCATGTCGCTCGGTGTTATTTAGTAACTGATACCTATGTATATCTGCATTCGGTTCCACGTACAATAGCATTTTTTGAATGAATGTAATGTAAATAAAAAACCTTTTATTCGAATGTTTTGAAAATTGTTTCGTGAAATAAAAAAGGATAAAATGACTCACCTGAAGTTAGAGAACCACTTGACAAGCTGGGCAGTATTGTTCTTATTGAACTTTATATCTGGGAAGTACATTTTTAGAACCGCTGAACTTGGATACCGGACCCAGAAGAACATCAGCTTGGCTTTCCTGAGATGCATGGGTGTCAATGTTGACGAGTGCTCAGACGTTAAGGAAACATCTGTTCGAATAGAATTGGCAATAATTACATTCACTACAATATTATTTTTATCTTCAAACGGAAAAGAAAATGAAAACTGTTTCTTTTTTTTTCGTTAATTTGTCAATTTGAAAATCTTCGAATGGGTGGGTGTAACCAAATTCCCCTTGCAAGTATGTAATTTCGGTTTCACAATTCTTATTTGACGCAGCTGGATTTAAGCCGACAGGAAAAGAAAATATTGGATCAAGCACATTTACTAAGGTTTCTTATTGTGATTTGAAGCGATTAGAATTGCAGAGATACCTTACTGAAAACTTAACCTTTTATAAGTTATAGGTCTAGAGAAGACCATCAAATGCTACAATCACATCAGTCAGTCGTGCTTTTTCAGCTTTTGCACCCGTCAAGGAACATCCTACGCCAAGTATAAATGTCTTTTGTAAAGCAAGCTTAAAAGTTTCGATAGGCACATTTAATTTTTATATCTTGGATTAAATCGCAAAAAATTGNCCTTTTCCTGTTTGCGTTTTTATTAGCAACAACATAATTGCATGTAATTTTCTAAAAGTCAATTCGCTATCTCGGACTCGGTGAATGGACGTGTAGGTATATTTATGTACAATGGCTGTGCGAATTATAATTATCCGCGGTTAGAATACGAACAGTACAGCACGTTCTAATTGAAAAGAGCTGCGTGTTGTTTACAAACACCGGCGTGCTTCTACCCTGCGGCTACGGCTACTACAAATTAAAAATTTAAGACTCCAGATATCGCATCGGTCAATGCAGCCGGGCAGCCCAGTGGCTCTTAAAACGAACATGGGAGAGTTTAGCTTCGAAATTCGGATGCTTCGCTTGCAGAGAGCAGAGCCGATAGCTCTGATGCTATAATTACTACTGACCATTCATTAGGAACATTTAGCTCAGTTGTCACATTTCAGTTTCAAACAACAAATTGCACAATTTTTAACCAACCTTGAAACTTTTTCTTTTACATATGTATTAAAGCTTATCTATGATACCCATAAAAGATAATTACATGAGCAATTAAAAAACTTTAAGAAATAAATGCAAAGTATTTAATAATTTGAGCCACTGAGTTGAATTTATTCATATAATTAAATAAAAAGATCTTAACTTTCGTTGTAGTAAACAGTGTGATTATGTAGCTACAACTTAATTATTGCTGTTAACAATATTATTTTGATAAAAGTAGGTAAACTTACTCGTTAAAACGTTTTACGCTTTTAGATCAGAAGCAGACTAATTCCATTAGAAAATTTATCTCTGTATATAATTTCACGATAAAAATTTATATATTTTTAACTTGGCAACGTTGGATGTGAGAAATTGTCCGTCCACATATCGTATCATCCCCGTCCCGCCCTTTCCGCCCCCCAACGGAACTAAATCTGAAGCCGTCTTACCACCTTATTATCCCTTTAATTAATCACAGCAATAATTGATTATTGATTGACGAGATTCGGCGGCGAGTAATTAATTAAAAACAATGTTCCTCTTCGTGACTAATTAAATCCGGTGAGCAGTGACGATAGCGCAAATTTTGACAAATTGTTGAATCTTCTATCGCGAAAATCATCTCTCTGACCAACCCTAATCGATTATCAGATATGAGAAGACAATATTCAGATAAACTAATATTCTTCTCGTTTTGAAACAAAGCTTTTTAAAAGTTTCATTAAAATTTCTGTCAGTAGGACGGAAAGACAGATGAATAACTATTGGTGAGTGGCTGATTCCTTCCTAACCTAAGCTAAGATTCTCATTTCCCAAAACCTAGAACGATATGCTCGTGAACAGTAACCCAATTTAGGCCTACTGCTCTTTACTCTTGTTTCTGCTTAGAGTATGCCTTTAACTAGTTCTTTGTGTCCCAAAAGGTGCTTGACCATCCTATCTTTCCATCTCTTTAAGGGTAGTTGGAATCTGTGTGAAGGAATACACACCGACAGATACCTTCACAAAGATTTCAACCATCGTCTATTCCAAAAAATGGAGACAAGTAATGAAAACATTAACACACGCCCGAATGATATGTAAGCTTGACAAGCTGCAGAAAGAACTGGAATACCTAGAAACCGCATTGAGAAAAAAATAGATACACCGGCAAAGAAAACCAACAATGCTTTCGAGAAACCTAGCGGAAAAAGAACCGCACATCTCCAAAGTAATAGACAGAATCGGATTGCTACTAAATCAGTATTAGAGCTATCGTACCTTCAAACCAACGAAGAAAAATTCTTCAGCCAGCCAAGGACAAACACCAGGCGCATACCGACTTCCTTGCACGTGTGGAACACTAGCAAATCCACAGTGACAAAACACACTTTAAACAGTGTAGGCCTCAAAATCAGATTCGAAGATACTGACGTTTTGTCACCGAATCATCATAATGTTCCAGACTGAACAGGGAATCACTAAAAACCAACAGTGAACCGAAAATACCAACCAATCGGCTCTGGAGCAACTCTCGCCAGTCTGCAAGAATCTCCAGACAAAGATCAACAAGCCCAAAAACCAATAGAAGACATCAGCGACTTGTTCTGGTTGTTAATAGCATGAGTATATAGTAATTATAATATATTCATATTATATTTTAAATATTGGCGGTGCGTATGTGGTAATTAAATTGAAAAGATATTAAAATTATTTGACTGTTTAAAAACTAAATAATGACATCATAGAGAGGTAATCTTCATTTCTGTAACGAAGGATATTTCATAATTTAAAATGGTCTACTCATTATAGTGGATGGAATGTTTTAATTTTTTTCTGTGATGTTTTAATGCCTATCGAATTGTGTCAAACTAAAGTTTGAAAAGGTTTTTTAACAACCTGAAACTCTGTAAACGTTAACCGGAAGCAGTCATGACACTTATAGGACACTTCGAGTTCTTAGTCCGTATGCCTAGCTAAGAGTATATATTTTTGAATGAAGAAGTTCTTTCAAGTAAGTTCCATATCTTTTTGAATGAATCCATTTAATTAATAGACGTTTTTGAGATTCCACAAGTGTTAAGGTCTTCTATTAGAATACGACGAATTTGAACGAACTCCGGTATAAAAAAGGAAAGTAAAAGGAAAAAGTACTAAAGCTTTGCTTTTAATCAGAAAGGTAATTTAATATTTTACTTTTCATAAAAGACCGCATTTTCTCTTTAAAACTTCTTCCTATACATTTTAGTTTTTTTCGGTGATAAACAGTGAATATTTCATCTTTATTGGTGTAGTAAAAATTTTTTAATACAGGACATGACACGGCATGACCATACTGTACAAAATTTAAGAAAAACTAAACACTAATAGGTTAAGAAAATTGTAAACATACCATACACATCTTATATATA